ATCTCACTGATTGGCATATCAAAGACAGCCCAATCCGACACCTAGTGCAATATTATAATCGAGTCTAGGGGTCAGGTGTAACATTCCAGTTTTGCCCATCTATCTCCAAGGTCCAGGGCAATACTGGAATTCTGGTCCGGTTTAGGGTTTCACGAAAACCCGCACTGCATGTACCTCAGGTCTCATCACCCTTGCAGCTGAGACAAGCCACCCTCACCAACTTGGCGGCACATCAGTGTCAGCCTTGGCATGATAAATCTCCCCAGATCTATCCAACGGTTGTGAAGATTCTAAACTAACACGAGTCTTATATGTGTCCAGTTTAAGGGTATTACACAGAAACACACCATAATAACATGAATCAAATATGTACTTTATTCATTAAATGTCATAATGTACATCATTTTGATTGGAGCTAAGGGCATACACTGTCTAACAACAAATTCCACCTGCACACAAATAGAATTAAGATCCAATTCCAAATGTTAACAGCAAAAGAACAAGATATCAGCAAATGGTAACAGTCCTCGCTTTTCACTTTACACAAGATGCAGCAATTCGGGGCTTAAGACATATAAGGTCGCTTCTTTTGTAGGCTTTCCAAAGTATTGATCTTACCATAATAGGCTTCCCAACAGAAAACAGTTATTTTAGGAGGAATTGGCCTTGACTAGATTTCTTTAACTGGGAAAACCAAAGAGGAGGGGTTGGAACAAAGGGAAAAGAGCTCTGATATTTTTCTATTTGTATATTTTTTGATTGGCATATAAAACTAGGATTTGAATCTGTAATTAGTTTTTTTTTTCTTTATCAAATTTTGTTGCTTTGGTGAGTAGGCACTTTATTGTTGCCTAGAATTGAGAATCATCTTTATGCCTTGATGACTACGTTAATTTAAGGTCTTCATGACTGACACTCTTCTGATGCTAGAATTTCACCATGATACTATTAGTCCATTGGGCGATAGATGTGACCTTGTTACACATTGTGTATTCCTTAACTTTTGAATCTTGTTGATTCATTTAAATTCCTAGCTTCAAATAATGCAATATTTGTCCATCTTTTGGATACACAGTGGATTCCACTCCATCTTTGTAGATGCATTTCTACCACACTGATTTTTTGAACATGTTGTTTCTTGACTGCACAACATTCTGTTCCATACAGCATTGCTAGGCTTACAACTGTTTTATAGAGTTTTCCTTTTAACCTAAGTGGCTATTGCCTATCACATAAGACTTCAAATGTCCATTTTTCCCATCCTGCCCTAATTATATGGGTGATATCCCCATCAGTTTCTACCTTGTTATGAATTATTGAACCAAAGTAATGGAAGAGATCGTCCCCTTGATGTATATAAAATGTTTTCTCAAAAGTTTGGTGTGCCATAGGTCCTCTTGGATCTGCCATTCTGTTGGTATCATGTCGAGAACTGCTATCAGTAGAAAATAAGAACAATTGGACAAGTAGAACAAACTTGCTGCACAGACTTGTGCCCCCTTGATCACTCAATTTAGTGTTTCATTATACCTTTCCTGTATTGCAGGTTTGACAAAGAGCTCAACAAAGATATTGCAATTAAAGTTATTGATTTAGAAGAAGCGTGAGTACATCTCTTGGATACTTTATCTTTTAATCTGGTTCTCTGTCTCTCTCTCTTCAGATGCTTGGTCTATTAATAACTAGTTTTTTCTAATTCTATGTTCCATTTCAGAGCTTGATCATATTAGGGTTTGCATATATATATATATATATATATATATTTATTTATATTTATGATAAGTAAAGCTCATTATTTTCTTGTCATTCCATGGTAATGACATTGGAAAAAGTAAAATTCATGTGTAAAATTTTAAGATTGCACTCCCTTCTTCCTTGGAATGCATTCCATTGAACAAAAGAAAATTTCCATACACATTCCAATTTCTTCATAACAAACTGGGGGATTTAGGAGTGGAATGACCCCACCTCCACTGTTTTGATCAGTAAACTCTTGATCAATCAGGCAATTGTCCACAATTAGCTTTCATACGGGACTGCTTAAACATGTTCAATATTCAGAAGTCAAATCTGCATGATTCTTTGGTAATCTTCTTGATTTGGCGTACAATCTTAGGCAGGAAAAAAGTGAAAAATCTATGGAGCACTATACTGCTTGCAGTTTGTTGGGGTATTGGGAAAGAAAGGAACAGACATTTTTGATGATAAATATCAACTGGGAAGGAAAGTTCTAGCTGAGATATGTTTGTTGATTGAGGATTGGTCACTGTCTCATGCTGAATGCAAGGATATCAGTGGACAAGATCTTGGGGACAACTTCTACTGTGGGTCTGGTTACAGGGATGCTGGGTGCTGATTTAGTATTTGGTTTTTGTTTTGTATTGTTGTAGTGTAATGTGTGGGTGAAAGCTCTTTACCACTTTGTTGCACTTATCATTTTTTTTGAAGAGTAAATGAAAATTCATTAAACAAAAAAAAAAAAAAAGGAATTACAATCCAATAGGTGACAAGATGGCACCTCATTACATGCATCAGAACAAAACCTGATTGCGAACAAAAGCTCAACCAAATTACATCAACCGAATTCAGGAACATTCATAAATACTCCCCCAACCCTAAACTGTTGAATTGAACAAAAAACTGGTAGCACCCAAATCCAAATCACTAACTGCTTCCCGACCAGAGCTAATTGAGTTTCAATGTTTTCTGATTGTCTTCAAAGAGTCTGCTGTTTCCTTGTTCCCTAGTACCCAACAACATACTGCAAAAGAAATGATTTTCCTCTCATTTTTCTTCGATCCTTTCCTCTTCTGTGTTTAGCCCATAGACCTCTGTACACCCCACAATGGCAATCCAGACTACCTTTCTTCTCCTTCTTCCTTTGCTTAAGGTGCCTACCGCCAGGAACCACTGCCTCAATCTGAGATCGAACTGTCTCATCTTCGGTTCTGCTTCCAACGCTTCTTTTGTCCCTTCTCTACTGTGGAATATGAAGAGGAACAGACCTCCGTTCATCTTCCTAACTCCTATCACCTTATCTTTTCCCCTTTCAAGGCTAGCCCAAGCTTCGACCTTCTCTACTTCCAAATCCAGACCCACAAATCTTCCAACCAGGCTTGCCCTTAGAACTGACATCCTCTCCTCCAGCTTACCAACTTTCCTCACATCAACCTGTACCGACATCCCCTCCTCTCCTCACATCAACCTTAGCAACTTTCCTCACATCAAAGCTGTATATGTTTTTTTGTTTATTGCTTTCAATAGTTGCACGTATCTTTGTTATTTTTGTGATTTTTTATTTAATGATTATTTGTTATTGATGGCTAATGGGGATAAGGTATATCGCCTATAGTTCATTGGTGACACCTTTGCTTCTTGTTTCTTGTGAAGCAAAGAACATGATGATCAAAATTCTTGTGGATATTACTGAAAACATTGAAGGAATCATGTTACTAATAAATTTCAGTAGGACTGATGACAGCCAAAGGATTTCAGACAATCCGGAAGCAGATCACAAGGTCCTCAGCTTGGTTGCTTTTAGATCTAAATGTTCCCATCAAAAGACCTAAGGGATTATGGGTTGGTTGAGTAATACAAAGGAGGCAGAATTGGTAGGTGGGTAAAATTGATTTGAAACTGGGCTTATGGGTTGGTTGAGTAAATAGGAACTAGTTGGAGGTTTAAGAAATGACCTAAGGGATTGAAACAATAAGGATGCCTGTTGTACTACTATAAAAGGGTTTGGATACCATAACAAAAACAACAAAGAAAAAAAAGGAAAATAATGAGATAATAAGAGGGAAAGGAAAAAGATAGAGGACATGATTTAGCAATGTAGAAGGCTAGTAAGAACAATAACAAAAAGCAAATATGAAAACAATAACATGAAGATTTTCAAACCAGTACTCAACAAATAAACAGAATACTTGCTATAAGCTAAAGCTAGATCTTAATGGAGTCAGCACCACACAATTTCTCTAGGAGTTGACATCAAACACATTAATAGGGAAAACTCTTCAATCGTTTATTAAGTTAAATGGCTTAAATGAACTATTACATGGAGTAAAAAAGGGCAGCCCAGTACACGAGGCTCCTGCCAATGCAGGGTCTGGGGAGGAATATATTTATGCAGCCTTACCCTTGCACATACAGATAGGCTGTTTCCAAGATTTGAACCGTGGTCACCCAGGGTACAATGGAGAAACCCAACTGTTGTGCCAAGGCTCACCCTTGAACTATTACATGGGGTATTTATAGAAAAATATTAGTGGGTCTTCTATGGTCTACTGTTAAATGGTCAAGAAGCTTTTGTATGTATTTATGAAGCTTGAAAAGAAAATTCCATTCAACGATAAGCTCAGAATACTGTTTTCCAAGGAAGAAAGAAGAGAGAAGAGAAGGAAGAAGAAGAAGAGAGGGAGAATAGAAGAGAGAAAAATGTAAGAGAGTCAAAAAGCTTGGCTGGTAGTGCTAGATATTCTATTTATATATAAGGGCAACTGTACATAACTAAAAGAATGGAAATGAACCAAAATACCCTTGCGATACGTAACTGAGATATTACATCACTCCCACTCAACTTGCCACAAAGATAATAATGCCACAAGGAATTTAATCCTTTGGTAAAAACATTTGCAAGTTGCTCTTCAGTGCTGACATATGGAGTGCACACTTCTCCCTTCTCCAACTTCTCCTTGATAAAGTGTTTATCTACCTAAATATGCTTGGCCCTGTCATGGATCACTAGATTAGCTGCAATATTGATAGTAGCCTTATTATCACGGTAGAGTGACATAGGGCCATCAAGAGGAAACCTAATTCACCTAGCAGATTTTTAATCCATAGGAGTTCAACAACTCCATGAGCCATGGCCTTGTATTTTGCTTCTGCACTAGATCTGGCCACCAAACTTTGTTTCTTTTTGTTTCTTACTTCTCTAAGTAACAAGGTTTCCTCCTACAAAGGTACAGTAACCACTGGTGGATTTTCTATCATCCCCTTAGCTGGCCCAATCAACATTAGTACAAACTTCAACTTTCAGATGTCCATGCTTCTTGAAGAAGAGACCAGTTCCATAGATTTTTTTTAGGCATCTAAGAACTTTTTTTGCTGCCTCAGGATGTGTGGCCTTTGGAGCATGCATGAATTGACTGAGGACTCCCATGACATATACAATATTAGGCCTAGTCGTAAATTAGTAGAGAAGTCTTCCAACAAGCCTTTGGTACTGTTTTGAATCCTTTATGGTCTCATCATTGCAGTCCTCTACTTTGTGATTCACACCTATAGGGGTGTTTTCTGGTTTGGCTCCTATCTTCCCTGTATCCTTCAGAAGATCTAGGGTATACTTCCTTTGGGAGATGAAGATACCCTATTGAGAGCGGGCAACCTCAATCCCAAGGAAGTAATGTATTGGTCCCAAATCCTTCACCTCAAAATGTGTGGACAAGAACTTCGACCTCTATATCTTTGAGACCCAATCACTAGTAATAACTATGTCATTCACATAGACTATCAAGACTGCAGTTTTTCCTTGTTCCTTATTTACAAAGAGTGTGTGGTCAATTTGGTACTGTCTAAAACCCATTGGTTGTACTGGTTGGTGGAATTTGCTCAACCCATACAGAGGCTTCTTCAATTTGCAAACTTTTTGTTCATTACCCAGTTGAGAAATACACCTGCAGTAATTCAAAAAATATAAGAAAAGAAAGAAAGGAAGAGAAAGAAAAAGAAAGAGGTTTCAAAAGTAGGTTGTGGAAGAAGAGAAGGAAAGAGAGAGAAGAAGAGTTTGAACCTCTCTCTTTAGCTCCCTTGATCCCTTTTATTAACTTAATTCTAAAATTAAGTACAATTACCTAGATGCCCTTAATGGGGCAGTCGACAGTAAAGAAATAATTAAAGAAAACAAAAAATGCCCATAACTAAGGCCTATAACCAACAAATATAAACTTAAAGAATAGCGGTAGTGGAGGAGTTAATAGGGAGATTCTCAGTTTCCATCAAATTTAAGAATGTAGAGGATGACTTCACTTGGGTGTAACTAATGTCTACAGTCCCAATAATTATAGAGAAAGGAATGACATGTGGGAGGAACTATATGCAATTCAAGGTTTATGGGAAGGTCCATGGTGTTTGGGAGGGGAATTTAATGCGATAAGATTTTCTGAAGAAACTTATAACTCCCAAC